CACATTTCAATCTACGTTTCCCAGAAACTCCTCACTAAGAAACTTTATTAAATTTAGTAAGTAAATTTAATTTAGAAAGAGTTCTGTTTTCACTGTATTTCTCTTCCCCCATGTTTTCCTGGACGGTTGCTTTCATAACAGTTTCTTTGGTTTGCTTTGTTTCTATGCAACTTGGAGTCATAAAACAATTTTCAACTTGCATACATCAATAAAAAGCTCCAACTGAGCTATGCTGATGTTCACTGTTTCAGAATCCAATCCCTCCTCCTTTTCCTGGACCACCAAAATCTATGTGGTCAGCTTTGATGTTTCCTATGGCTCTCAGAAACCTACATTCTCTATACTGTTTAGATTAAGCTCCAAAAGAGGACTTCTCAATTTGTGAACGTAATTACAGATCCAGTTTCCATCCAATATTTTTGAATTAGGCATTTGCTTTTGAATAAAAATATACTGGAACTTCAATACCCTACTGCAGTCATCTGCACACATCATTATCCCTTTGCTTTCACTGCTCCTTTTGCATGGATACATGCTGCAAGGAGTTCTAGCAACACTAGCACAGATATTATTGCAAAATGCAGTATAGGATAATTAATAATGAATACTGGAGCTATTGCCAAATCTAGTGGAAGGCTCTAAAAAGAAATCACATGTTACGAGGATGTGTATTCTTGATTTCTGGGGGTGGGATGACAAATTATTTTCCAATTGCATAGTACTAGGCAAAATTAAGCAGCTCTCCAGGGCTTTTGCAGCCAAAAGTAACAGCCATACAGTCTGGTTCTTGCACTAAATGCCCACTTCAGATTATGGTGTTCACATGCATGACGAGGATTGGGGATTACTAACTGGAAAATGTTGGAATCCAGGAGTTAAAATGTTCAGTATAGCAAAACACAGGTTTGCCTACATCAATCAGTTGGAAATGACACTTGCTATATCCCGGTTCAAGGCTTAGTTTATGCTGTTGAAAAGCACTTCCATTATTATTATAGTTATTCTGAGATAGAAGAGAGCAAAACCCACGTGAAGACAAAATGCAGGCAAAGATGGAAATCAGTGGGACATTTTGTAGAATGATCCTGAGCACACATGAAGAGAGAAAAGGAGAGAGTTTTCTGAGGGCAGTGCTGCCTGAACTGAGAGGCTTGGAATACTACAAAAGGAGCTGTTTCCTTTTGTCTATTTTCCTGCTTCATACAAGGAAACAGGACTGCAGTTTAATCCCATTTTGATTACAAAGAATGTCCAGGAAGATTTCCTACCAATATTTTGAAAGAAATAAGCCCTAGATCTCATACACTGGCCAACCACCGAGGCAAAAAGTTACATAACTCACTTCACGCATACTGAGAAGTACAGAAAACAATCCAGCAAAATTCCTACAGACATCAGGCTCTTCTCATTCAGAATTCGTAATCTAGGGTTTTAACTTTAAGTAAAATATAGTATTAATATAAGGAGGGGAGAGTATGTCAAAACACATTGATGAAACTGAAAAAAAAGGTGTGAAGAAGGGAAGAATGGAAATAGTGACCTAGTTCTCCCAATCCCCAAATTCCTGTGTTATCCTGTGTGAACCACTGAAACCCTGTGCTCTCAGCACTCAGGTTCACTTGCCCTGAAATCATCACCTAAGGCTCGACTCTGTCTTTCCCTGTTCCTCAGACCTCCGGAACACTATGTGCTGTGTGCTTTGGTGCTGCATGAAATTATCTGATTCAATGTGAATACAAGCCAGAGATCTTGAGGTTCTTTACCTCAAAAGGATTTTCTTACACGTTTTCCCACATTCATTAATTTCTGACACCTCAGGATGTTCAAATGAACAAGACAGTGTGCACACAGAAAGATCTCCCTTGCTCAAGCAACACAGTGGAGCAAATAACAGAATTTCATGGGAAGCTCTGAAAGCGTCTCTTGTAATTCCCTTTCAGAACAGAGAAATAAATAGAAGCTGCAGACTTTTCCAGAAAAAGGAAATCTGGCTCTTGTCTAGCTCAAGTTACTGCCAACTTCAACCCACTTGAACAAAAACCTGGCAGGAAAAAAGAAAACATCTCTGGTGCACTTTACTATTTCAGCCTAACAAAGTACTTGCTTATATATTGTAACTACTGAGAAAGGCAGAATTGATTTCAACTTGTTTTCTCAAATAGTATTCAGCTATTGGCAGCAGGCTGCTTAATGCAGTTGTGTTGAACGCTGGAAAAGAAGGGGCTGGTAAGAAGTGCAGTTATAATGCAAGAAAAAAATGCATTTGTCAGCTCTTGTTCTTGCTCATATCTTGTTGTTACAGCCTCACACGCTGTAAGCTGGCAAGTCCAGGCCTGGCACTGTGTCACTGCAGTCAGCTGGACATCTGTGACAGCTGGTTTTCCACAGTGGCTCATTTAACTCTGAGATGCTTGGCTCTGAGAGGCCAGACTTCGTCCTTGTAAGCGGAACAAGAGAGACATCCAGTGGCTGGATCATATAAGTGCATTTTTAATCTAGCAAGACAAACTCCAGTACCCCAATGTATTCCATTCTAACCTGTATAAGAAGCCGTCCATATGCCAGCTGTGAGAGAATCACAGGAAAACTATCCTTCTGGCTGAAGAACTGCTGCTACCTCTGCTGGGTCTTCCTCCTGCAGACATTCTCTGTGCATGCTGGGTCTATGGGTGGTTCTTGCTTTCTCTCATAAGTTTAACTTCATTATTTTGATTCTCAATCGATGAAATTGTTGTTAAATTCCATGGAGCAATAGCAATTTCTGTCAACCTAGAATCTCATTCTAAACATCTCATCGTTCCCATGGGTGCTTTTCACATCTACCATCTTTCATTCAAATATTTTCTCCAATTCTGTACTACTTACTTTTATCTGTGCAGTAAATTGATTTCCTGGTCATTACTGATACCAGAGAATTCCAGAGAATCAATGTGGTAAATCCTGATATTAAGTGGCTTGATCTTCATGTAATAACAAGAAGATTCTAAATTTACCACTATAAATTAGTGGTATCTACGGCATGTGTTATTAAAAAATCCTTACAATTACTGTCCCATCCAAACTATATCTTATACACAAAAAGACAGCTTCTTTGGAAACATACCAGCACAAGAGCACTTAGAAACTCAAAAACACAAAGACAGAATGAGTAGATAGAGGAAAAGCAGAAATAAAGTTTTGGACAAATTATTAGCAATAATAATTACAAGTAGTTTATTTGCTAAAAGCAACTGGCATATATTAATAATTGGCTTTTTAAAGGGCACAACCTTTACAAACTTGAAGAATGTATACCAATAAAGATAAGAGAGTTAGGAATGGGTTAATCCTCCAAAATGTAATGAAGAACTGAATGCAGGCGATTGCTGACTCCACTAACAACAGTGTAGAATGAGGAGATGTGGTTACAATTGATGGCTCTGAGCAAATATCCCTGTTATTGGAAAGAAAACTGAATGCAGCCAGTGAAGTAAGGAGCGATCGTGTAACGCGATGTCATATATTAGTAGGGTGTGCTGCTTGTTACTTAGGAAAAAAACTGACATACTCAATATGAGAAGAAATTAGGTTCCTTTCTTACCATATACATACACAGAAAAATGCATCACACACAAGCTAAACAACGTATCAAGCTGCAATGGAGTTATTCCTAATATATAAAAACACAGAAGGAGATATTTCACTCTACTGTGCGTTACTTTGCAAGGTTTTTCAACCGTGCTGCTGTTGCTGTTATTACTACTACTACAAAAACAGTACAGAAATGTCCACAAGGCACTTCTTACTGCTGCCCAGTAAAAATTCCTTGGTGTAATTTTCATATCAACACTCATTCTGTGCTTGAATGAAATAAAAGATTTCTTAACTATCAAATATCCACTGCACTTGATTTCAATAGCTAGTATCATTAGAATCTACTTTGAGGCTTTAAATCAATATATTCCTGAGAGTGACCGAAAAAATCAGAGCAAGTATTTTTCCCTTGGGATTTTAGACCAGATTTGACGTAATTGGGAAGCCAGACTCTGCTGAAGCAATGGAGCTATAATCAGCAGAAATTCACTTATACAGGTGGAGGCCCATGGCTCTGATTGGGGATGTACAGTGTTCTGATTTCAAGGCCCATCAACAGAGGAATCAGCAAGTCTCATGCCTCGACCAGCCTGGGGAGGGATTTGGCATTTAACTAATGTTGTTAGCTAATTCCAGGTCTTTGTATGGTGGTGGACCACCAGTGTCTGAAACACCTGTACATCAGAAAGCTGTGTTGCACCTAAAGCAATACACCTAAGCAATTTAGTACGTTACTTCCATTACTCCTATTTCCTCTGCTTCTGCAGCACTACGTTGTGACACGTCACGCTGCAGCCCACCTAGCACAAAGGCCACCTCCCAAATTAGCTTTGAGCAGTGTTAAATTAACTGCCCAGCTGCCTCAATTCAGAACAACCTAGCTCAAGGACCTGTCCATCTGTCAAGTCTAGAATAGCTGTATCAGAAAAGAGAGACAAAAACACTCACTTCAAAGCTTTTAAAGGCAAATCCCAGTCTTCTTTCCCATTCACAAAAGCAAGCTACATTACTGGCAATCAGGCATTAGGAGATAACAGATCTCCATTTTATTACCCGTGCTGTTATATGCTAGATTAGCTCTGTAGCAACAAACTGGTCTAGTTGGGCAACAATTCAGTAATGCACAAAGCTGTGGAAGGGCACCTACATAAAGACCACGCAGTTCAGAATTTGCCTGCCCAGAGGCAGTTTTGTCTACAGGAAGATTCTGAGGTCAAGTAAGTGAAGGACAAATGGCAGCTGCATTCCTACCAATCCGTCTTGACAGCCACTGGAAATTTGTGATCAAGTTTAAACAGTCAAAACTGGATTGCTCTGAGATTGTAGTTAGCAGTGTAACTGTACAACCCATCCTGAATGCTGATTTTTCCATTATACAAAGACACCTTGTGATCAGTCTTGGACTCATGAAAATCATTAATTCTTACCTAATTGCTGTACTCTGGAAACGAAAAGTCCTTCAGATTTCTGCCCCGCTGGGAGGAACCACTTGGTTTCAGAGCAGTTTCTTTCTTTCTATGCTTATTCTTGCAGAAGAGTGCATAAAAATCCATGTGAATTTTTTCCTATTAGAAGAAATATTAATTATCAAAATGGTAATTCATGGAACTTTCTCCTAGTTCTGTATATTATTACACTTACATGAATACTAGAAACTAGAAATTAGTATTACATTTCAGGTCAGGTTTTGTTCCTTTCTTTTATTATTATTATTTAATTTAAAGGTTAAATCAGCAATTAAACACAAATAAATCAATGATTTATTAACGTAGGTCCAAATGTATTAACAAAACATTCTAATATATGTATAGGAAAAGTAAAGTAAATCTGAAATCACTTCCAGTGTTGCATTTTTTTCCCCTTAGCTTCCAAATTGCTTTTATCAATTAAGTCTGTTATCGTAGGTAGTAAGGTAGTAAGTTATCAGTGAGGGAAAAGTTACAAACCTGGGGTATTTACATATGGTAAGAACTCACCTTGATTTAATGCAAAAAAATAAAAATACCACTTCTGGGACAGGATTGTCTAACAAGTGGTGATATAGTACTGTTTTCTACATTGTAAACTCTTTGCACTTAGGAATTTGATTTCATCAATGGCCAACAAACACCACGATGAAATACCTAATACTGTCACTCCCCTTTCCATACAGAAAACAGGAAAAATGACATTGAAAGTTTCACCAAAATTTATAGAGTTAAAACAGAGCAATAACTCAAATCTCTTGACTTAGAATCACAGAACAATTTGAATTGGAAGGGACTTCAAAGCCCACCCAGTCCCAACCCCAGCCTTGGACATGGCTGCCCCCAGCATTGCAGCTGCCCAGGGCCCCATCCAACCTGGCCTTGAGTGCCTGCAGGGATGGGGCACCACAACTTCTCTGGGCAGCTGTGCCACTGCCCCACCACCCTGAATGAAGAATTTATTTTTAATATATAAAATCTAACTTGATGTTTTGTGCTTTTCCAACAAGTATTCTTCCATGTGCTAGTTCAAGAAACAGCACAGAAGAATGGCTGAGGCAGTGAAACCAAATTATGTTAGCAAAGTACCACTATGGCAGTTAAAATCAATTTTGTTACAAAGTTCCTCTGTCAAAAACTTCTTTCTCAGTGTTCGCTGTCATTAAGCAACCTTCTCAAAGCAAGTTGGCTCTTCTGGAATAGCATTAACGTGTAACAAACATAGAGAAAAAAGTGCCAGAAAGCTGCCAGCTTCTGATACGAGCTAGCAAGCTGAGCCTTTTACCACTAGAGGACGGTATAATGTAACCAACTGGAAATGCAGCAGTGGGCTGAGGAGACTCAGGGCAGCAGCGCCGAGAAATAGGACAATCTGTAAGAAGAGGACTGTGAGGTAAAATTGAAAGAAAAAAAATGGCACACTTATTTTCCTGGAGCGTGGATTGGTGCACCAGCATACAGGCGAGCAGTGATAATTCTGGGGGTGAGCTCCGGGGGCCAGGCAGAGTCCGTGGTGGGTCTTTGCTCCTCTGTTGGGCTGGGGGTTAAGAAGCCATTAAGATTCCAAACTGCTACTTAGCATAAATTCTCTTCCAGGGACCTAGGCACAATTCCGATTCCATTTATATTTCTGAATCACGGCATCAACTTCAGTGGCAAAGTTCCTGCCAATTTCTGATGCGGAGATGACCTGCCTCCCCCAGGACCCAGGTGAAGAGAGCTCTGCAATATCAGCAAGTGGCTTAGCAGGACAACCCTGAGGACCTCTGCAGTGGCAGCATAGGATGGACAGGACTGGAATGAGAGATGTGATACGAGTGAGTGTTACCTCAGATGTGAAAGAAGAGATGCAGCTGGACATATAGGAGAATTTGGTTGTCTCTCATTAACTATTTTTAAGGACCAAATTAGCCCAAATTAATAAAAATATGTAACACAGAGGTATAACATAAACATGTAAAAATAAGCAAGTTAAGTTTATGTAAGGAATAGTCCCATTGCACTTGGGCAATGGCCTGAAGCAAGGAGAGCTACTGAACTATTCCGAGCTCTGATGGAGATCAAACTACTTGGTCAATCTGTTCATCTATGTCTATTTTTCAGTACAAGAAATGACAAAGTGCTTACGTCACTCTGAGAACTGTAAGTAGAAAGCACTCAATAAAAATCAAAATCTTCCAGCATTATACCTCAAAAAAGTAAGGCAAGGAATGTCTTTACCCGAGGGAACTACAGCTCTGGGAAAGCAGTGAGACAAACACGAAAGGAGTGAATAGGCTGTCTCACTGCAAAGCTTTGAAGTGCACAAGTGCTGTGATTTACAGCACAAGAAACAGCACATTTGAGGTGAACACCTAGAAGGGATTTACGTCTGTGCAGCACAAAGGGCCATTAGCAGCATCTGCTCTTGCACCAGTGCCAGGGCACAATGTGGAAAAGGACAAGAGGGCTGCACTGAGGAACACCAGCATCATACTGAACATTTCGGTGTGGGTTTGGGATTTTTTCCCCTCCTTTCTGTGAATTAATTTACATCCACTTCAATTTAGAACAGAACTACAGAACAGAATTTAGAGGCAATGAGATTTTTGTTTAGTGCACTACAGAAGAGAGTGGAGGTTCACAGGAACTCAGGTCCAGGTCTCTGTTCTGAGCAGAAGTGACCACATGTAACCCAGCAATTCCTAGGGAACTCAGTTACACCCTCTTTCTGGCTGCTCTGTACCAAAACAAGGTGTATTTTCACAAACATCTCTTTCAGCAACAGTACTGGCTTTAACACCTTGTTCCGTCCAGCTTATTTCCACCTTACACCACAGCCTTACTTATGCCAGGAGAGCTGCTGGTAAAGGCACAAACTAAATTGTAGTGAGGAAAATAACCCCTCAATAAGTAGACGAATGAATAAATTCAAGTTGAATTTGCTTCCCAGTCTAAATCAATGTGCAGTCACACAAACAGGGACAAAACAACATGCAGGTAAGGGTGGGAAGGAAGAAAGAAGGACTATCTAGTGGATGGCACTACATGTGCCTGGAATGTGCCATTCCCATAGATGGAACTATATGTGAATCTGCACCCCAGTGGGAAGCTGAGCACAATCCTTAAGCACAGAATCACAGAATCACAGAATCACCCGGGTTGGAAGGGACCTCAAGGATCATGTAGTTCCAACCCCCCTGCCTAGCAGGGCCACCAAACATACACATTTAGATCAGGTTGCCCAGGACCCCGTCCAATCTGGCCTTAAACACATCGAAGGACGGGGCATCCACAACCTCCCTGGGCAGCCCGTTCCAGGGCCTAACCACTCTCCTTGTGAAGAACTTCCCCCTAACATCCAACCTAAATCTTCCCTCCTTCAACTTGGATCCATTTCCCCTAGTCCTGCTGTTGTCAGCCCTTTTGAAGAGTTTACTCCCCTCCTGGGTGTAGGTTCCCTTCAGGTATTGATAGGCTGCAATGAGGTCACCCCGCAGCCTTCTCTTCTCCAGGCTGAACAAGCCCAACTCCCTCAGCCTGTCCTCATAGGGGAGGTGCTCCAGCCCCCTGATCATCTTAGTCGCCCTCCTCTGGACCCTTTCCAAGATCTCTATGTCTTTCTTGTACTGAGGGCTCCACACCTGGACACAGTACTCCAGATGGGGCCTCACAAGAGCCGAGTAGAGAGGGACAATCACCTCCCTCTCCCTGCTGACCACCCCTCTCCTGATGGAGCCCAGGATCCCATTTGCCTTTCGAGCTGCCAGAGCGCACTGCTGGCTCATGTTCAGTCTCTCGTCCATCAGGACCCCCAGGTCCTTCTCTGCCGAGCTGCTCAAGCACTGCCAGTGCACATTTAAACTTTGACACCATCTCGATTGTTCAGCTCTTATCATTTTTACCTGAGCACCTAGACAAAACTTAAGAGTTCTGGAGGTCTTTCCAGTTAGAAGACATCAGCATAGATCTTTAATTAAACATAGTAACTGGTTTACTACTACCGGTTTCACAAATAATAATTAGCTTTTACTACCAGTTTCAGTGAGTACTGTTAATTGATCATTATCCCACCCTATGCTCACCTTGCTCACTGGCCTTGCCTCACCAGCTGCAGCACACTGCAGGGACATTTGGCTCAGCCTCTGCCACAGCTGGGGAACAGAACGGGGCAGCAAGGCAAGGAGTGCAAAACTTTCCCCACACCTCTGCTGCTAGGAGCACAGAAATCTCCTCCGTTGATGCTAGGTCTGTTTTCTAACTCTTGTTTGCAGGCTGTGTTCCTCATCACAGCTTTGGGCTCTCAGCTGTGCCAAAGGCAGGCACTCAACTTGCAGTCTAGCCGAAGGGCTAGAAACCTCCCACAGAGAGAAGGCAGAAACTAGAACTGACTTTACACTTTGTTTGTTTTTCTTCTTTTCCCTCCAATTTATTTATCAGCTATACTCTCAAGATAAAACTAACAACTCGTTTTATAGAGCTTGATACTTTCCAGCTGTGCAGGAATCAAACAAATGAGATGGCTTACAAGAGCCCCCAACTGGTAAAGTGGGATACAGCCCTACATTCTCACTCATCTTTCCTCTATCTTTATCCAAGATAAACTTCCTACTTACTCTGTGTTTCTTGTTTTAGCTCCCAAACTCAGCTGCATACATTTCCCTGTCCTCACAACTATTTAGTATTGTCCATTATTCCCAGTGCCCAAGAACTCTGTGTGTATTTTTGTTTCCAGAATTGGTGATCTGCACGTCTCTCTCAGAATGCAATTTCTGTAACATAAGATTGCATAAAATAAAGTGCATCAGTAAAACTTCCTTATTTCTGCAAAGCTCACCTGAAAAGTTAATAACACACAAACACACGAAGGCAGCTGCATCTTCCCCTTGTGTATGTATGAAACAGCTTAACTCAATCACGGAAAGAGAATTTATGCCAATAATTGTAAAGACAAATTGAAGGGGAAATGATAGTCCTATTTTTTCCTCCTTAAATACTGTAAATCTGCATCTCAGCAAGAAACAAGCACTGTACCTATTAGGAAGGGACAAAACCACTTTTAAGACTGAGTATTGTATAATGCCTGAATATTCAAAGGCAGATAACTATAGACACTTTAC